TTATAGAAAGCGTACGAATGCAGCTTCATTAGAATGGTCAGAGTATGTAGCGTGAAGAACACCTGCGCAGTCCAGGTCCATTGCATCATGAAAGGCCAGCTGTTTGTTCCTGTCAGCCCTCCTCCCGAGTTCCGGTGTTTAAGCAAGCCATAAACTCACTTTATCCATAGAACTAGCCAAAATGCCTCACCCAGGCTCTGTAAGATCATACCCCCGCGCGACCATCGCAGCCACTGCGGACCACCCCGCCACAGCCGGTGCATAGGCAGAACGAGTGCTGAGCTTATCACCATGGCCGCATCGCTGAGTCCCATCCCCCACACATTGGCCGTCAAGAGGCTCCAAACGCGCACCTGTAGGGGGTATCCGGTGTCCTTGATATTGCGCAAGATGCTGGTCCCGACCATGATGGCCAAGCCAATCCAAAAGAGTGTAAAGAACCCTCGGAAGTTATGATAGTCACTATCGGGATCGAAATGTGACACGCGAGGCACATAGTCTATAGTATAAAACAAGCGATTCCGGGCGCGGACTTGCTTTCTCGCGGTTGAGATCGAATGCGCTGATGGAGGAGCATCTTCGGAAACAGGGGTTGAGCGGCCACTACGGGTGCGAGAGACAGATTAGTTATTGCCTTAAATCCAGTCCGGTCGTGTAAATTGAGGGCATTTCACCTTGTATCATGGGTTAGCTTATCCACTGGAAGGGGGAGAGCCCCGTCGGACTTTTCATCATGCTGTATCGGAACGGCGCGCGGCCGCAGATTCGCAGATTCATTCTGGGAGACGGCGCTAGACATCCTATATGGACACAATTGCAGAATCAGGGGGGGTTGCACATTGAAGACACTGAGATGCAAATTTAGAAACACCTGAGACTATGTGGGGTCAGCTCTGTTTGGTTTTTGTTTGGACTCGAAACTCGAAAAATCACGGGTCACTACGTCAGACTGCCTTTATAGTTATGTACGTTATCGGTATACATGCAAGCTAGGCAGATGTATTTAGAGGCTCAAACTATTGAATTTGTTGACATGCTTACATATCAGAGTATCTTTATCATCCATGAATATTTGTATATTGTATTTATTTTAGTGCAATTTAACCGAATTCTTTTCTCTTGCGACAAGCACGCATTTTTATACTATAGATCCTTTATATGGATGTATTTTGGACTTCCACGGTTGTAAAATTCCAAAACTGCCACTTATGTCAGATTCCTGCCTCAGGTATATATATATCTAAAGGCGGTGTAGATGAATGGTATCAAAGAGTCAGGTGATTCAGGGTAACCAAGCTAGTCCTCTTTCATATTAGTGCCCCATGCCAAGATGCCAGGTCGACTGCCATGAGGAATAATAATACAACAGTCCAGACCTCCAGACCAACAGCCTTGACACTTCTTTCGTTTCATTGGTTTTATGAGCGCGGTGCTTGGTTCATCTACTTGCACCTGACTTCGTCCCTTCTTCTCCATTGAATATCTCCCCTCCTCGCCCCGCCGGGGGTCCCTCTGGCCGCCATGTCTTCCCGTAAGTGCTGCCCGCCGCCCCTCCTCCCCTGAGATGCATTCTGACCACGCAATCCAATCTGTCTACAGTCAAGCAATTCATCCGTAACGTCCGATCAGCAAAGACCATCGCCGATGAACGTGCAGTTATCCAAAAAGAAAGCGCCGCTATTCGCGCCTCGTTTCGAGAAGAGAGCCATGACTCCGGCATCCGGTTCGCCTCAGCATCCACCTCAATCGATTACTCGATCGATCTCTAACAATTGATAGGAGAAATAATGTCGCCAAGCTCTTGTATCTGTTTACTCTCGGAGAACGGACTCACTTCGGCCAAATCGAATGTCTGAAACTACTTGCCTCGCACCGTTTCGCCGACAAGCGATTGGGGTATCTGGGCACCATGCTGTTACTAGATGAGAACCAAGAAGTGCTAACACTTGTGACCAACTCTTTGAAAAAGTAAGCCTATTGACTTAACTTTGGTGACTTGGCTGACCCCGGGCTAACTAAAATGTAGTGACCTCAACCACTCCAACCAATATATCGTCGGCCTCGCTCTTTGTACCCTCGGAAACATAGCGTCCGTTGAAATGTCTCGTGATCTTTTCCCCGAAGTCGAAACCCTTATGTCGACCGCGAACCCCTATATTCGACGGAAAGCAGCGATCTGTGCCATGCGCATATGTCGGAAGGTTCCAGACCTGTACGAGCACTTCCTCGAGAAAGCTAAGAACCTGTTGTCAGACCGGAACCATGGCGTTCTTCTCTGCGGGCTGACACTGGCGATTGATCTATGTGAAGCGGAAGAGGAGGAGGAGGAAGAAGGAGGACCAGTGGGCGTGATTGAAATGTTCCGGCCGTTGGCCGGAGGTTTGGTTCGCGCTTTGAAGGGGCTGACAACTTCGGGATATGCCCCCGAGCATGATGTGTCCGGTATCACAGATCCTTTCCTCCAAGTCAAGATCCTTCGGTTCTTGCGTGTATTGGGTCGGGGAGATGTGGCCACCAGCGAATTGATCAACGATATCCTGGCCCAGGTGGCCACCAATACGGATTCCTCAAAGAACGTCGGCAACTCTATTCTATATGAGGCCGTTCTTACGATTCTGGATATTGAAGCCGACTCTGGTCTAAGGGTGCTGGGCGTCAACATTCTCGGCAAATTCCTGGCTAACAAGGACAATAATATCCGTTACGTTGCGTTGAACACACTGAATAAGGTTGTTGCAATTGAACCAAATGCGGTGCAGAGGCATCGCAACACGATCTTGGAATGCCTGCGGGATCCTGATATTAGCATTCGCCGGCGAGCGCTCGATCTCAGCTTCATGTTGATCAACGCAGATAATGTGCGGGTGCTGGTCCGGGAACTGCTGGCCTTCCTGGAGGTGGCCGACAACGAGTTCAAGTCCGTGATGACAACACAAATAGGTATCGCGGCCGATCGGTTCGCACCTAACAAGCGCTGGCACATGGACACCATTCTGCGGGTTCTCAAGCTGGCTGGGAACTACGTTAAAGAACAGATCCTGTCCTCGTTTGTCCGTCTCATTGCGACCACCCCTGATCTGCAGACCTACGCAGTACAGAAGCTCTACTCGTCATTGAAGGAGGACATCTCACAAGAGGGTCTCACACTGGCTGCGACATGGACCATTGGCGAATATGCCGATAGCCTCCTTCATGGTGGTCAGTACGAGGAAGAGGAACTGGTCAAGGAGGTTCGGGAGAGTGATCTTGTTGACCTCTTCACCAACATTCTCAACAGCACCTACGCCTCCCAGATTGCTGTCGAATACATCATCACTGCATCCATGAAGCTTACTGTGCGCATGTCGGATCCCGCTCAAATTGAACGTCTGCGCCGTTTGCTTTCCAGCCGAACCGCGGACCTGAGTGTGGAAATTCAACAGCGTGCCGTTGAATACACCAACCTTTTCGGCTACGATCAAATCCGCCGCGGCGTGCTCGAGCGGATGCCCCCGCCTGAGATCCGTGAGGAACAACGGGTACTAGGTGCTGCTCCCGCTGCTAAGAAACGTCAGAGTAAGCTTCTTCGTGGGAAGTCGACAACAAAGGTCGCCAAACCTGCAGAGCATGACCTGCTCCTTGACTTGGTTGGCGGATCCGACGCCCCTGTCACGAGCCCTACCTCGAACGGATCGAACACCGCCGATCTGCTGGCAGACATTCTTGGCGGAGACTCGGGCATGTCATCTCCCTCGCCGGGGCCTGGTGGCCAGAAGAACCCGAACAGCGCCATCATGGACCTGTTTGGCTCCAACGGTCCTTCGCCATCCCCTCAGCCCACACAACCCGCATCAGCCTCGATGGATCTCCTAGGTGCAGGAGGCATGGGCGCCTCTGCGCCTTCGCCCTCCACCTCTCCCGCACCTGTCACTGCTGCAACCCCCGCACACACCGCGCTCAACAAGGACGGTCTCGTACTTACCTTGCAAGTTCAGCGAAGCGGGAGCAACGCCCAGATCCTGGCCCGCTTCCGCAACGACTCCAACTTCGACCGATTCACTAGTGTCGGCTTGCAAGCCGCCGTACCAAAGAGCCAGCGATTGCAGCTGAGCGCAATCAGCAAGGCCGATCTGGAGTCCGGCGACGAGGGCACACAATCAATGCGTGTGACCGCTCTGAATGGGGTATGTCAAGTTTCTCCTCCCTATCTTACGCTTTTGCCTTCTTTTGAGTCTCAAACTAATCTATTTTTTCCAGAGTCTCCCTGCCAAACTTCGCCTTCGTCTTCGTGTCACTTCCGCCCGCGGCGGTGGAAACCCTGTCACCGACCAAGTAGACTGGTCTGAGCCGTAGATCAAATCGGTGGCAGTGATGCTAAAAGCTCATCCGAACGAATGTTTAATTTTCCCATGAACAGTCAAATCCAGTTTTATACACCCCCGTTCTCTGCATCTTCCTCGCTTCTATCTATCTAGACTTTTGTTCTGCCATTGATTTCCTTTTCTCTTGTACTTCGTTTCACTACTGGGGGGGGGGGAGGGATTTTTCTTATTGTACGTGCTTCAGATGAAAGTTTTAGCGTATGAGACAGTGCAATGTGTATTGCATCAAGCCCGTGTATTTAATGGCCCATATGAGAGTAGTGTGCTCCTTCCTACATGTATGTACTTATTAGATACTAAGAGGTTGAAGTGCATTCAGAGTTATGGCACCTATGACGCAGACTAGATCCAAATACATAAACCAAAATACAATAGGCGACAGAAAGCAAGGCTCTATAACTTCAAAAGAGAATTCAGATCAACTGCAGCCTCCGCAAGAAAAAAATGAAAAGTCAGTATATAATCCTGAAAGCAAAGAGACAAGTGACTCCATGGCAGAAAAAAAAAAGAATGCAGGGTCGTGTGAGTTGTCCTAAATCCAAGGCGTGAGCCCAATCTATAAGGCAGAACTGGAAGATACCAAGATACCAGAATGGTATATAATATGGAGAGCAAGTCCAAAATAAGTAGCCAAGCCAATCAAATGTGCTCAATGGGGCCCTCCGGGAGCAGCACCTCTCCCTCTCTCTGGTCACGGGGCAAACAAGCCTTGAGCGGAGGGCGGACGATGTCATTGAACATAAAAGTTCCATAGACAAGGAGCGCGAAGCCGGCAACTTGGAGCCATTTGAAGCTCTCCCAGCCGAGTCCAAGCGAAACAAGCCAGATGAAAAGCGTGCGGCAGGTGTCGATTGTGCTACGAGAAGTAGCAGAGACAGTGCGGGTGACAGAGAGACCGAAGAAGTTGAAGCCACTAGGATAAACGTTAGAAGGGAGGATAGGAACATGGAGTTGAGCAGCAAGATAAACACATACCCGATACTGATCATGATGAACACGCTCGATATGGCAACAGCACGGTTATTGAAAACTTCGTGCAATCCCTGCTTGATATCAAAGTAACCATATCGGCCGGCATCGGTCCGTCCAACAATAAGATACATGATCAACATGCCAATGACAGTAACTAAAAAGCCGAAGACACCTTCCCAACCCACGACATGGATCGGTTCCATGGCGTAATTCTCCAAAATCCACTCCTCCAGTACAAACTGCGTGGCTGTGAAGATCTGCGCCGCAGCAATAAGCAGCACGCCAATGACGGCCTGAACAGCCTCAGGGGTCCGAGCTACATCACGCGCCTGCATAAGAGCACGCGAGGCCGCATCAGTAGCACTCCCATCCTGGGTGATATCATGGCCTGACTCTCCACTGAATAGGGCTCCAGAAAGACCCACAATAGCCACACCTAGGACGACAATAAAGAGTGCGCTCCACTGGTAGAAGTGGAGTCTGCGGCGAAGGAAAAGGACACTGAACAGGCCTACGAAGAGGACAAGGGCACCCCGAGTCATCTGGTAGATACTGGCTGCCACAAAGAGAAGACCCACGTTCATGAGGGTTGTGCCGGCGATATCGCAGCTCGACGGCGCTGCAAGAAGTAGGATCTTCCATCCGCGGAGTGGGATTCGGCTGTCATCTTCGGGTAGGGGCTTGGGGTGTCTGCTGTCACTATCAAGTTCATCGACTGTGTGGTCATCTTCATGATCGAGGCCTTCGTCATCACCGTTTATCGGGTGATATCCGCCCGTTAGAAGGGGTGAAGGGTCACTGGATAGGCGTGGTGCGATGTATTGGCGGTAGAGGAAGGTTAAGCCGACAACTAGCCAACAGCCCATTTCACCCATAAACATTACGGCACTGTTTTACCGTATAGTGTTAGCATTCATCGCTAGTGTTGCAAAGCTATATCATCAACACGAGGTGAAACCTACGTTTGAATGACAGGCTGCTCGAACAGCTTCCGCTGGCTGGGATCTGGGGAATCGCAGTTCCGCACACATTGCATATCCTATTCGAGACGCGGCGTTTAGTTTGTGTTTCTTGTTTCTTTGTAGCTCTGGATCGAGGACGAACCTGATACTTGTTGAGAATGGTGTTGCACACCCCGGTCACGAGCATCATCGTGACCAGGACGGGGATGAGGGCATTGTTTGCCATCTTGTCCCACTGTGTTGGTAAAAGTTAGTCCAGGTGTTAAGAGGATAAGAAGATGAAGTGAGGAGACCCTGGTGAGGCCAAGTGAGGAGACAAAGCGGAGAGCTTATCGGAGCTGATAACATGTGTCACGGTATCAGGACTCCCCACAAGGTACGGCTTCTACATAACTAACGTAATGTTGTACATTAGTACATATAGCCCATGCTCTCTATGGCTCAAATGCTACTTAAATATGCATATACTTGATCTCCTCACTTCTTAGCTTTCCCTTTTTTGAGTACTCAGTCCTTGCTTTTTGTTGAGTATAATTAAGCACGGCCTTAACCCCAATTTGCTTATTACATAAGCACGCCGATCATCCATCCATCCATAGATCCACATGTGCCAAGCATCAGTAGCAACGGGCAGTCAATACTTGAACTGTAATATATCGAGGGATATTTGATATCTTTGATATATTTGATTCTCATGCAGATTGTGGATTTGAGGGCTAGATGTGGCTCTTACTTGTATTTGCTAACTTTTCAAGTGATTTCTAGCACAGTTGCTCCAAGCTGTGCATGGCCGAGTAGCATCAATAACCTGGTACTTGGATAGCAAGAAAGGTGAATAGGGTACGATGCTACCAAATATGATCATTCAAATTATCTGGTCTTACACATTTACAAAGAAGAGACTCAGTGCCCAACATTCCCCTCTGAAAATGGACATCTTTTTCAGCTCTTATTGAAGTGGGTTAGACAAAGCCTTCATGAAACAACCCAGGAAGGTCACACAGTGGGCAGCGAGAAGATAAAGAAAACATCTAGAATATCAACCTTCGGATGAAGCGCCTTTCTTAAATTTGTTTCAGTGCTACGCTAATGACCCTGGAGTGGCATCAAAGTCCTTTCAAAGGGCGCTCGCCCATCCACGGCGATATCATATTCAATTATACATATATCCTTGGCATTCTGGTACATGTTCACCTTTTTGAGTAGATAAATACGGGCCCTGCTTCCTTTGAGAAAAAAAGAAGAAGAAGATCCAACTGCGCTCTCAGGTAGTCCTACAGATAATGGGGTTCTTCTGCCTTGGCAACTTCATTGCTCTTATCGGTATCCTTTTGGTCGGTCCGACAGCAACATCAGGTGCAGCTGTTGCCGTTGTACCTCAAGCAAATAGCAACGGCCTTTGTTACAAATATGTTGTCCAGGCTGGCGAAACTTGTTCTGTGATTGCTCAGGCACACTCTATCACCACGGCTGATATCGAAACCTACAACGCTCGAAGCTGGGCATGGTCTGGATGCAAACCTATATCGCAGGGCTCTTCCATCTGCCTCAGTTCTGGAGAGCCCCCAATGCCAGTTGCACTTCCAAATGCTGTTTGTGGGCCCCAGGTGCCTGGAACAGCACGCCCCACCAGCTGGTCTGACCTAGAGTCTTTGAATCCGTGTGTGACCAATGAATGTGTAAGTTGACAGTTTAAACCCCTCTCTCTTAGTTTGTCATCTAATATCTTAACAGTGCTCTTCCTCGGGTCTCTGTGGAACCACTTCGGACTTTTGCACTTCTAAGGCCCATGTCACTACAGCATTATCTATATCCACCAGCACCCATTCAGCCACAACAAAAAAGACCACCACATCTACTAGCACAACTAAATATATTCATCAACTTGTAGCTAGCACTGAGACTTCATCCACTAGCAAGACCACTAAGACTAGTACAACCAAGTGTGTCTCCACAACGACCACTAAGACTACTTCCACCCACAAAACCACGACGGCGTCAACCAAATCATCCCAAACAAAAGCAAAAACAAGCACTAGTACTAGTACTAGCACTAGCACCACCAAATCAACAACTGTTAATCCATGGTTACTCACAATGTACACCAAGAAGGACTGCGCGGGCGACTACTACATACTCCAAGGACACAATGTGGGCTACTCGAAGACCTGCGTAAACCTGCACGGGGGTCTAAGCAGCAAATATACGGAAACAGGTGTTTCCTGCAAATGGTTTACAAACCGCGGCAAATCCATCTCTGATTGCGATGCCAGCACCCTCAAGAGACCTCAATCCTGGACAGTTGAGGCTGGTATCTGCACTGTATTCGATACTAAAAACTGTAAATCGAGCCTGTATTCTAATGCTTATACGCCTGAGCTGAAGGCGCCTTGTCAGAATCGGGGTAAATTTGATACGCCGAAGTTTCTTTCTATGAATTGTTATACTGAGGGTTGAGGTTGGGGCTTCTGGTGTGATGCATTACTTTTTGGTCTAGCCTCTTGGGTTTGATTCACGTTATAGAGCTCATGCTTATACTATAAAGACATCTATATGGTTTTCCGAGAATCATTGACGATCTATTATTTACTCATGTGGTTTTATATTGGAATAATGTTGACGGTAACATTGCCTTGGGTTGCGATCAGCTCCAAAAAGGTCCTGCATTCTACAAAATATCCTTCGAATCTCCCATTGCTTCTTTCCGCATTCTGTCCAGCGCTCACTAAGCTTTATTGGGTTATCACATGATGACTCTGAGCGCCCTCCTAAAGGCGACAGAGAAATGACCCAGCAGAGGAAATATGGTACGTAGAGCTACATAGGTACATATGTACGCATGTGTAAAATTCAAGTTCCAAAAAGAAATCCAAATAAACGACCCGGTTAAGAACCTAACCCCGATTTTTCCTCCCTCCAAACGCCATCGCTGAGGCCAATGGACAACACAAAATTCCAAAAATAATTAGAAACCCAAAAGGTAGATCCCCAAGGATCACAAGAAATTAACCAGGAGTCCCGCGTAGGGTACAAACGTATCCCTCCTGGACCATATATACGCTGGAAACGAACCGCCGAAATAGAATGTTTCAGAGACTCAGCCCATCTTCATGTAGGACTAGTGATACGTACATGCTCTCAATACAAACCAGGAACCCACTTCTGACTGATGCGAATGCCTTCTCTCTCGTAGCGCGCAACAGCATCCCAGTCAACCTCAAGCTGTCCCATAGCACCGATGCCCTTGACCTGAATCTCAGGCGGAATGCGCATCCAGTCCGCAGCCCTGGCAATGGATTCTTCATCCCACGGTTCATAAAACTTCTCCAGGAAAGCAGCCTCCTCGGCCTCGTCGGGAGGAGTTAGACTAGCAAAGGCAGCCCAGTCATCATCCACCGGGGTAGCTTCATTGATATCGAAGTCCTCGAGTGAATCATAGCCCAGGTGAGGCAGATCCTTGCTTGCGAGGTTTGAAAATGTATCATGGATTGTGTCAAGCGAGGTGGGACATTCCGCCCAGGGATCCTTTGTATCGCTATCCTCCAGTTTGATACTAACATCCTTCTTTCCGTCCTTGTCAGCAGACTTCGTTCCCTTGACAGAGGACAACTGCGGAGTGAGCAGCTGAGTTGATGCTGCAGCAGGAGACGCGGTCTTGGCTCCGAATTGGCTATTAACCCTGGCCATAGGCGTGTTGTTGGCAAGGAGAGGCGTAGCAATACTTTGTTTTGCAGGAGAAGCTGCTGCACTAAGCTTGGTGGAGGGTGGAACTGGTCCGAGTGTGGTCACCTGCTGGGTTTCCGGACTATCATTGGGGTTCAGTCCAAGACCCATCGAGATACTTTCATGGTAATATTTGAGATAATCCTCAATCAACTCTTCCTCCTCGGGTTGATGGCTTTCTTCGATGTGCTTGTCCAAGACGGCTTGTGTAGCGAATCCTTGGTAGTGGTGTTGACACTCAACCACACTGCATTTGAAAGCACCTGCCATAGCTGCAGCATTGGATGTGGCATCTGCCACCGCTTTGTTGTATTTGGCCGTTGCGCCAGGGGCTGCAGTTGGTTGAATTGGGGATGATGCCACGCCATGAGACTGCTTTCGCTTTTTGGGAGGAGGCAGCTTAAGATCCTCGGGGGCAAGTCCGCCAGGGGCATATTGAGGGACGCCCCTGGGAGACGGAGCCGCGAAAGGTGCAGCTGGGGCATTTGCAACAGACTGGCTAGAGGCGCGCCGGGCTCGTTGTAGGGCTTCTTCCTGTGCCTGCAACTGCTGCAAGTTGGTCGCGTTCAGTGCCGGCATGTTGCCTTGGATTGCCTGAGCGTTAGAGGTAGGAGGTTGGGAGGCATTAGGACGTTGACCTTGTTGCATGCGAGAAATCATCACAGCGAACAACTTCCGCATAAAAAGGATTGCACCAGTGAGGTAATCGGGAGTAACTGTGAAATGCTCATTTACAACCCAATCCTGCGAGGGCTTGAACTGCCTCATCAATTGGATACGCTAAGCGAAATCAGATTAGTAAATAAACGCCTATTCATGGATATTATTAAAGGAGAGCTTACCATGGCGAGAAGATTCTTCACATTCTTCTCCTGGCCTTGCATCTTTGCAAACCATTGTACAAGGGCATCCAGCCGGCCGAGAACATCCAAAGCTTCACGCAGTTGTTTGGTCATGGCGGCCTTCTGCTCTGGCGAGACAGGCATAGGCTTTGCGGGTGGGGCGTTCTTGGCGATGTCATTATAAACCTCCATAACTTGCGGTGGTAGGTTCCTGTTCCATGCCTCGTCGGCGGCAGCTCTGCTGAGTACCTGACCCCGACCTTGAGCCTGTTGCCTCCGAATGTGTGCCTCAACCTGAGCTCGCTGTTGAGGAGTCATTTGTGCAAGCTGTTCCGGCGTGAAAGGAAGAGCTGGCCGTTGGGGAGCCGTCCCTTGGGCGCCTGGAACTGCCACAGGTTGGCTCATCTGAGGTGTAGCTGTGGCTCGGGCTTCAGTTGTATCATCTGTGCTAGGTCTCTTCTTTGAGGCCTGCTTCCCGGCAGCACCCTTAGCACCTTTAGTCGCAGCTCCAGCTTGGGGCTTTGCGTTCGCCGCTTTGGGGGTCGATTGCGGGGCTTGGGGATGCTGTTGCTTCATTTGCGGGACAGGCTGTACTGCAGGAACCGGAGGTTGCACCGCAGGTTGGTTTAGCTGGCCAGGCTGCGTGTTTCCTTCAAGTTGCATTGCTCGGTTCTGTGCAACCTGCATCATCTGCTTTTGGCGGTTTCGGTACAGAATCTCCCGAATCTGCTCATCGGTGAAGTTTGACGCCTGGTGTCCAAGCTTTTGGCGAGCCATTTGGATGTCTTGGGTAGAAATTGGCCGCATGGCTGCCATGTTGATAGCAGTGGATTGTTGGCCAGGGGGGAAGCCTGCCGCGTTCGTAAACGGGGCCTGGGTACCTTGGAATGGAGTTGCCGCTGGACCCTGGCCATTCTGGTTGACTTGATTTGTGGAAGCTGAGATGAGCTGACCAAGATGAAGCTTCTGAAGCATCATGAGGCGCGGGAGGTCGTTGGGGCTTGCAACTTGAGGGTTTGAATTTGCCCATTGCTTGAGTTGACCCCATGATTTGACGTTGCTGGGAACTTGCATCGAGGTGCCATTCATGTTCAGAATAGACGGTGGGAAAGACACGCGATCCATTTGCTTGCCCTGCTCAGGAGTCATCTCCACGCCATTGTTTTGCTGCCGCAGCATCTGGAGCTTATAAATCTCATTATTGCGTTGTTGACGTTGCTGCTGAGTCATTTGCTGGCCTTGGGGCATTCCTCCTGAGCTCAAATCCTGTGGGGCACTCATCGAGCCTCTCATGATGGCGTTGCCCATCTGATTATTCATCATTGGTTGGGCTTGGCCTGGTTGAGGTTGCGGCTGCGGCTGCTGGCCGGGATTGGCTCGGGCCATGTTGTTGAGAGCCGCACGGCGTTGCTGCATGATAAAAACCCGAGCTTGTTCAGGAGGCATGCGAGCGAGTTGTTCCTGGATGTGAGGCGGGATATTGGAGGGGATTTGGGGCTGACCTTGCATCGCAGCTTGTCCTGCAACGCCAGCCGGATGCTGGCCCATGTTCGCAGGTCGGGACGGTGGTCGCGCTTGAGCGGGCACCTGGACCGGAGACATCTGACCCGGCGCCATGGGTTGATTCAGCATTGGCATGACGGGGCTCTGTCCGTTCAGTTGCGGCTGTGATTGGGGCGTCACCTGGCCACCATGGCCCGACATCGCCATCTGAGCCTTCTGGGCCGCTTGTGCACGTGCCTGGGCTTGGGCTTGAGCCTGAGACTGTTGTGCCTGGAACTGCATTCGATCTTGAGGAGTGTTGGACCCACCCTGCAGATGCTGCTGGGCAAGGAACTGAGCCTGAGCGTTTGTATTATTGGCGTTCATATTCGCTTGGCCATTCTGGCCCATTTGCTGTGGAAACATGTTGTTATTGTTCGGAAATGGGGCCTGGTTCATTTGGGAAGAGCTGGCAGGAACGACTAGTTGACCAGCCTCCTGGGAGCGCAGGCCATCTGCTTGCTGTCCTTGGATGTTTTCCACATTGCCAATAAAGTTTGGGGGTTCCATCGTTTGGCCTGGATTTCCGGGAAATGCAGAATTGCGTTGAAGATTTAACATGTTTTGAAGCATCTGTCGCTGGTGCTGAGAATTCATCATCGGGTCGCCCATCATGTTACCATTGGTATCCACCCCAGCATTTGGCGCGCGTCCTCCCATTTCCAGACGAGAGCGGCGATGGCGTCTGATCTGGCTGAGGGCCTGAGAGCGGAAAAAATAGGTCATTGGCTCAAGGTTTTTCCGTGCCAGGTATTGTCGCTGGTCGGGTGTCATGTTTGACAGGTTCAATTTGATCTTCTCCATATCTTCCGGGTTGGTTTTGTTCAACATCTCGTTTGCCAGTCGAGAGACGTGGTCAAGATCTTGTGCTGAAAGCGTGCTGAGGTCGTCGACCATCGGAATCCCATTGCCAGGCCGCTGTTGGGATCGCTGTTGCTGCTGCTGCTGCTGTTGCTGCTGCTGCTGTTGGAGCATCGCCTGTGACTGCTGTTGCTGTCGCTGCTGCTGTATTGCTGCCTGTTGGTTCTGCCCATTCATTCCCATTGCCATCTGCTGTTGGCCAGAAACTGGGGACGCCTGCATGCTCTGATTGATGTGCTGCGGAAAAGCGCCTGGAATCTGATTTTGACCAGCGCCCGTCTGGGGCATCATTCCACTTTGGTAAGCGACCGCGGCCTGTCTCTCTCGGGTGTTTCTGATGTGAAGAAGCTTCTCGGTACATTCCTTTTCGTATTCGATCTTCTCGTTGGCTTTGGTGAATGCTTTTAATTCGAAACTCATGGCCGCCTGGGCCGCTTGGTGGAGATCGATGCGAGGTTGGATCAAACGGAGGGAGGTGATCCTAATTCA